TGCTTTAGTGCAAAAACCACTGTGTCCATCGCGGGGAATCGAACCCCGAGTTTTAGCACTGTAAGTTCGTAAATTTAACGCTGCCCCACCATCGAGGGACTCGTAGAAATGATTCGCTGCACAGAAGTAGAGCGCCCTGGAAAGTTGGGTTGGTAGTTTTAAATCCTTATTTTTGCAAACGGTAATGCTGTTATTTACTAAGTTACTTTAACAGCAAAGAATCCGATTAACAGAATCTATACTATAACATAAAATACTAACCCGCTTATTCAATGCGCTAATAATACAGTGTTGGATGCCCCTACAGACAAACACACCGATAGAACCATGTATTTTCCGTGTATAGAAGGAAAACAATCACGATTTAATATGAAACTTATAGCACGTATAAATACTTAAACTAAAACAACAACAAGTTTTCTTCAGTACTTCGTTGGTACATCTGTATAACATCAATGAGTATAACCTAATACATCATAGGGTTTTTATATGTTTGACCTCCTATATATGATTAATGTTGTGAACTAAGACATCAATGTTTCATTAGCCATGGTGAGAAAATAGACACTGTCGAGGACTTGAACAAATAATGAAAAAAAAAAAAACAGCAACAAAAGAACATCTGTTTTAGTATCACGTTTTAACAACACTCTATCAATTACACTTAAGAATTTCACGTAGCTTTAAATACATTTCTAGTAAGTTTGAGCGTGTTATAATCTAGCCGCTTCAGTGAACTCTGGAAAAAATGTTTCTTCCGTACAACTATAGCTTAAGGTAGCACTAACCCTTAAAACTGGGCAAATTTACTTGTTGAGGAAGCATTGTTAAAGACTTCTTATAACCTTCATGTTGAGCACAAAACAAAAGTATGATGTTGCAATCTATGAAAGTACACTTACATTCATATACGTCATATTCATAATTAATACGGCAGGGAAAAAGAAATACATAACATAAACTGTTTTAACACCATAACTTTACTTAGGAATGATAAAAACGTGAAAATTGATACACATGCTCTTTGTGAACATCCTCATAGCTTGAATTAAAAACTTTGTAAATTTTCTGCAATGTTAATGAGCTATGGGCAACTAATTTTAATTGATGCTTTTGTTAGTGGAAATCAGATTTATGATAAGACAATTGGTAAAGATTTTTGAATTATAAAAATTTGCCCAGTTTGAAGGGTCAGTGCTACCTTAAAGAGAAAAAGTAAAAATGAATGTTTTTTTAACAGACTTTTCTAACAAGCCTATTAAGAGTAAAGTGTTAAATATTGTTCATTGTCCCATTGTTCTGTTTCAAGGATTTTACTAGCACTGAAGCAAAAAAATAAAGATTATTTATGGACAGAAAATGTCTAATAGTTTCCAAAGATTCCGATATTTTGGACTTTATGTTGAAGTATTCATCCACCTCAAGTATAAAATTAGAAATGTCAGTTTTTTAATTTATTGTTAAATACAAAGCTATACAATGAGCTATCTGTGTTCTGTCCATCAAGGGTATCAAAACCCAAGCTTTTGCATTGTAAGCCTGAGCCATTGAGGGGGGGGGGGATATTGGAAATGCCAAGTGAACCTTTATACAATTTACAAATTACCCAATCTTGTATTAAAAGTGCTTGCCCAACATAGTTTATACCTAAGTATACTTTTAAATAAAATCAAAGAGATTTAAACATTCAGTAATAGTTAAAGCCTGATCCCTGCAATGCCATCTATGTAATAAAATATCTTTAGCAAGTACTGCATTCCAACAGCTGGAGATGAAAGTAATTTGCTTTGAAACTATCATACTTTTCACAGAAATAATAATTTTGAATGTAGCTATGGACAAAATTGTTGTTTCTCTAGTTTTAATTATACCAAATTTGATGCAAATATCTTGTTTACCTTGGACCATCGATACCCGAGTCGTACTTTCAAGCTAAAATATAATAAACAGGAGTATGTAATGATAAATTATCGAATACTGTCAAGGCTAAAACCGATCCAACTATAAAATATTTACATTTATTAAAGTCTGTAAGCATTAAAATATCCTTATGTGTAATAATTAGCCTCACTTGTGAAATAGTCAGAACATAGAAGAAACTCTCTATCAATGCTGTAAACCTTTTATTAGTCATTCATCTTAGTAGCCAGGTTGTTTAGTAGTATTTTTCAGAGACTGTAGAGAAAACTGGTTTGTGTGGAATCCATAATACAGAGGCTGACTACGTTATGGCAATTTCAGTCTTTTAAAACATCTTTAGATGTCACTATGTCCTGTCATGCTATGTTTGACGATTATGCATCTTGACAATAACCCTACAGTTTTTCAAATGTAAAAAAACATCTATCACGTCAAAACTTCACCCTCCTCCCTGCAGCCTTTCTAAATCTATCTAGTGTAGGAAGATCAGCTTTTCAGCACTAGTTAGAATAATCTGATTGCACATAAATCAATAGGCACTGTATTTGGCGACTTGACCAGTATGTCTTCTACGAAAACGTTTCTCAACCTTTTTAATACCAGGGGCTGGCTAGCTGCCATCCTAAACTGTTGCGGATCACTAAAATGTAACTATGATGGCAAAACCATCACGATTTACACACACAAGCACACGTATATATATTCTGTCAGTTTTTGTGAATTCCCACTGACCGGCAAGGTAGCTGTGACGAATTGGCACGGGTCCATGTACCGATGATGGAGAAACACTGTTCTATGGAACAACATGAATACCAGTTTCATTCTCTAACTCCTTGAGGTAAGCAATGGTTGAACCGATGTGTCATGGAAGCAACTTATGTACACGTGACTTGTGTCACTCTTTTAAATGGAAATCCTTCTTAATTATTTTGCATAATTTTGCATGGGATAGGTGGACAGCTTTTGCCAACAACTTTTGTGTTCTTGGATTCTCACCTGTTACAAGATGTCGCATTGTTCTTACTATGGCTGTGGTGCAATTTGTTGTAGGGTTCTTTCTGGATGGTTCTGGTTCCCCACATTCAGCCATATTCCTTAGTTTTCCAATGACATCAAGTACAAGGTATATCATCATCTTATAAATCCTCAATCTGAACACAACTATGTGATCTGAGTATATGAATACTATGCTTTGGAAATGGCTGTACCATTAACAAGAATGATCAATTTTTAGTGGCATCACACTACCTATGAAATGCTTCAACGATATCAATATGTAGTTCTGACCGTGGTAGTCATGTTACTTGCTGATTTCCATATTGAAGCATTTTTTATGCCTTATGTTTTGTCTGATCTAATGCAACCGTAGTTTACAAACTGTTGCGTGAAGCTAAGTCGTAGATGTCTTTCTTTTTACCAAGTCAAACTTTGTTATTTGAGTTTATTTATGTCATATTTACAAACATTTCTGTCACAATCAACAATGATAACTTTTTCCAACTACTAAAGCTTTTCAAAGTAATACTAAACCATCTTTTCACTTCTGTCACTGATTTTTATACTTTTTACCATAAACATTAGGTCACTATTAGTGTCATTATGGAAGTATGAAATTGATTAATAGTAAAATGTGCATGATGTTGGGATGTTGTAACCACAAAAAAAGGTCTGTAGTGACAAGACATCGAATAATTAAACAACTTTTCATGCAATCTCTCATACTTAAGACAATAAGTTATAATGTTACTTACTCTTACACCATTATCCCTACACCACTTGGTGGTCACTATCACAACTTCAGTAACAGTTTGTCCTGGTTCTCCATATAGTCATTTAAACAATGAGTAGTTATGTTAGAAAATACATTCCAGTCACATACATGCTATTTGATATACCATTCTGTTTTAAGTACTTTATCCAATGGCAGTTTGCCAATTCTTATTTTTTGTGCAATAGCCCATCATGCCATAGAAAACAGTATGATAGGCTGTAATAATACTAGAATGATGGGGTATGAATTACACACGAGTAAAAAAGGAGGATCTAAGAGGCTTTCTACATCCACCTAACTGACAACACACTCAGTTAACTTAGAACAGACATCAGTAAAACCTGGATGCCCCTACTAAGAGCACTGATATAGTTATTAGGTTTAAATTCTAACAGAGAAGACCTCACAAGAGGGAATACCACACCAACCTCTTTATAAAGATGACTCAGAATTGAGTCTCAGGCACTACCATCACATAAACAGTCCTTCTGAGAACATCCCTGAAAATGGCAGCAGATTAGCAGCCAAAACATATGATAAAACTAATAGCTAGCAATTAATAAACATATTAGTAACTAATTAATACTTAAGACTTTAAGTGATTGTATAGGCTCCTAACCACGACAATGAAGAAAGACAGATCCCCCAAAAAAGTGAAGGAAATAATAATACAGTAATTTTTTTTTTATAGGTTATACTATAGTCAGCATTTTGTAATTTTGCCTTGGCCAAAGAACTCAAACTGTAATGGAACTACTTAATATTAAATATAAATTAATTAAATTATTTATGTTTAAGTCGCATTGTGCTATCGAAACATATCTAGAAACTCATAAAAATTTTATTTTTCACATTACTAATATTTCTAAGATACTGGAAAATCTGATACCATGCTCTAGTAAGTAATTGCTGGGGAAAATAGTAATTGTTTTTCATAGCAGAGAAAGAATAATACGTTACATAATAAAAACATAAGACAGCTGTTTTAAATGGCTATAAAACAATCTTATTAATAAAAACAATGTTTAACTCAAATGAGAAAAACATCAATAAAGATAAGTAAATACTAATGAACAATAATGCCAATGAATAAACTCATTTTAGAAACAACATAGACAACTTAACGCAGAGAAACATGCTACATTTGAAAATAATGATTAATAATAGCTACTGAACAATAATGCCAATGAACAGAACCATTTTAGAAATCTGAAGATTATTCATACGAAGAAACATCCAAACAAGAACATATACAGGCACAGTTTCCTTTTCTTCAAATATACATCTTTCAAGTTTTTTGTTGACATACCTGTCGTTTCTCTATGTCATCTGGAAGCCTATCCACTGTTGGAAGTTCTGTAAGAAAACTAAATTTTCGATCATACACACATCGGTGCAGTTGTTTGTCAAGCATTTGGAAATTTTCATAAGTTCTCCTTACAGTCCAGGAGCGGCCGTTGCATGCTACTTCCACACAAAACCACATCTTGCTACTTTCATTCTCTTTGTCAGTTCCATTGGCTAGTGTTGGTGGAATCTTGGTGAAATCGGGTCGTTCATCACATAAGTGTATCTTAATCACAATGAGAAAAATAACATTAATATAATATGTATAATTTTCTTTTCTGCATAAAAACTTTACAAAAATTAAACATTATAATATCCTAAACCAAATTTACAATTACATCAATTTTACAATGTTCTTATGGTGGTGTGGCTTTAAAATGATTAGGATCAACTGAACAACAGTCTTAAAAACGGTATGTTAATAATATAAAAAAAAATCAATCATAACTACACTATACTTATATAAAATGTTACAATAATTGTTTTTAATTTGATGAAGACTTCACCACACTACTGAAATTTAGAATTACTGATGCTCTATAAACATGTTTTCTAAATCATTTGTGGATAAATGACTCTCTTGATTACCGGAGTCACTAATAACATGAGTCACACAACACATACTCACACACACATACAAAAAAAACAAACATTACTATTGCAATTAATTTCATAAATTACTACTACAGTCCCATATGATAGATACAAAATAATTAAGTATTTTCACCCAAAACATTTTTGGGCAGTGAAACAAGCAAAAAACACAAATTTATATAAAATGTAGACCCAACCCAAAGCGATTGGTTTGTTTGTTTTGAATTTCGTGCAAAGCTACATGAGGGCTATCTGCACTAGCCATCCATAATTTATCAGTGTAAGACTAGAGGGAAGGCAGCTAGTCATCACCACCCACCGCCAACTCTTGGGCTACTCTTTTACCAACGAATAGTGGGATTGACCGTCACATTATAACGCCCCCACGGCTGAAAGGGCGAGCATATTTGGTGGGATGGGGATTCGAACCTGCGACCCTCAGATTCCGAGTCGAGCGCCCTAACCACCTGGCCATGCCAGGCCAAAGCAATTGGTATAAAAACCACCAGAGGTAAGTTATCTGAGAAGTCATTGATGGTTTTTTTTTCTTTATATGAACTTAAGACTAACTGAAGTCATACGTATATAGGGAATATGAGAATTTAAGTTAGGTAATGAATTTAAAGTGGGTATTGTTAATTAACATAATGGTTAAAAAAATGGAGAAAAAAAATACAGGCTTAACAATTCATACTTTCAGGTTTCTTCTGGTGGGAAAAAAACGTTAACTCTTTTGTAATTTTCCATTATAAAGAATAAATAAATTACAAAACCATCAGTTGGGTACTGGTTTTGATGTAATGATTAAAACTCAGCTAAATTATAACTTAAAGATCAGCATTACAGGTCTACAAAATATTTTTAAAATAAAATGTTCATAGTCATTCAGTTTCATACATACTACTTGTTTGTTTTAGCTACACACTGTGCTATCTACACTGTAACATGTTAAATGGCATAGTCATTCAATTTTATACATACTCTTGTTTTGTTTTAGCTACAAGCTACACACTGTGCTATCTACACTGTAACACGTTAAATGATCATAGTTACTCAATTTTATACATACTCTTGTTTTGTTATAGCTACAAGCTACACACTGTGCTATCTACACTGTAACATGTTAAATGATCATAGTCATTCAATTTTATACATACTAATTGTTTTGTTTTAGCTCCAAGCTACACACTGTGCTATCTACACTGTAACATGTTAAATGATCATAGTCACTCAATTTTATACATACTAATTGTTTTGTTATAGCTACAAGCTACACACTGTGATATCTACACTGTAACATGTTAAATGATCATAGTTACTCAATTTTATACACACTACTTGTTTGTTTTAGCTCCAAGCTACACACTGTGCTATCTACACTGTAACATGTTAAATGATCAGTCACTCAATTTTATACATACTCTTGTTTGTTTTAGATACAAGCTACACACTGTGCTATCTAAACTGTAACATATTAAATGATCATAGTCACTCAATTTTATACATACTCTTGTTTGTTTTAGCTACAAGCTACACACTGTGCTATCTACACTGTAACATGTTAAATGATCATAGTCATTCAATTTTATATATATATTACTGTTTGTTTTAGCTCCAAGCTACACACTGTGCTATTTAAACTGTAACATGTTAAATGATCATAGTCACTCAATTTTATACGTACTACTAGGATGAAACCCCAAATTCTACATAATGATGTAATTGTAAAAGGCAGATGATTCACTGATTTCTATACTGATGTAAGCCAAAACATCACATCATACTTAAATGCATGCATAAAAGTTTGCCAATAAGAAACACAGCTGTATCATGGTTCCTTTTCAGTATATTATAGCAGTAACCGGCAAATTTTGGGATTACACAATCCAGACTTAAATATTAAACAACATTTAAAATGTTCTTCAATGATACTAACATTATGTGAACATGATTATGAGCTATGGGCACCAAAATGTCTGGTGAATATAGAATAATCATAAGAATATCGTGGAAAAAGAAAATAATGAGTACATTATAAAGATAAGAATTAATTAAACTCGTTTTACGAAAAGTAATTCATCTGTCTGCCAGTGATAGTTTGTAAATCTATTAACTGACAAAACAATAAATATATTTTCATGCTTACCACTAGAGGGCCAAGTTCTACATTATCGTAGTGAAAATGTGCACATTCGTCTAACTTGGGAAATCTGCTGGTCTCATCTATGGTCCTATAAACAGAAACAAAAGGAATCATATATTATTGTTCAATGGAAAATATTATGAAGTTAGGTGTAAGAAACATCTGTAGGGGTTGTGAGAGGTCAGAAAGTGTACAGCTTTTGGTCAGCTATCTCTCAACCCCAACCGATGTTCCTTACACTTAACTTCATAACAAGCAGTACTTCTTCCTAATGATATATTTGGCGTTATGTGTTATTGTGACACGTCAATTAGGCTTAACTAATTTATAGTGCGGTTAACAGAGAGGGCTAGTTAACAAAATGTATTTATTCACCCAGCATTTCTCACGCTACAAAAGTTAGCACTAATGTTTCATTTTTAATGGAAACTTACACTACCAAGTGGACTAGCAGTAGTTTATTCGTAATCTTAATAGTGAAAGAAAAGAAAAAACTAACGAAGAATTTATAAGTTTCACAACGATACCACGTGCATGTCAACTTCTGAAGGGGAAAAAAATTCGGAGTAGCAAAGTAAATCATGTGTTCGCATAATGTAAAAGAAGTATTCATTTGAGCTAAGATACTATATTTCACGTCCTCGAAGTACAAAAACAGTATTGTTTTGCTTGCACGAGAGCGACAGTCACCGTATAATACTAACAGTAAAATAACAGATAAACATATATTACGTTGTTTACTTACACAAGATAGTAGCTTACGCAATAAATGGTGATCTCACTCTCATTCTGCCTTTCTTTGTCACGAACAATGCGGTGGAAATGGAGCACGCTCCACCGAAGCGGAACGGATTTGACAAATATAACGACAACGATAACCCACGGGCGTCAAAATGTCACAGCAAGCATATAAAGGCGCTATTTATTTAGTTTCCGTGAACACGGTAAAAACATAAGACAGTCTGTGAAAATTTATTTTATTCTTCTTTGGTCAAAAAATATTAATCGTTAACAGCACACACGAAGTGTATTTTAACAGTATCAATGAATATACTTAATCCATGTCACGTTACTACTTCCGGTATGGGTGCTCTTAAAATGAAAGTATATTTTAACAGTATCAATGAATATACTTAATCCATGTCACGTTACTACTTCCGGTATGGGTGCTCTTAAAATGAAAGTATATTTTAACAGTATCAATGAATATACTTAATCCATGTCACGTTACTACTTCTGGTATGGGTGCTCTTAAAATAAAGTATATTTTAACAGTATCAATGAATATACTTAATCCATGTCATGTTACTACTTCCGGTATGGGTGCTCTTAAAATAAAAGTATATTTTAACAGTATCAATGAATATACTTAATCCATGTCACGTTACTACTTCTGGTATGGGTGTTCTTAAAATAAATATTTAAATTTGTAAAGTGTTTCCTAGATAAAGCTGCGCATATCATATATCATGTAAATAAAATATATTCTATAATCTTATTTAAAGTATTCAACTCTGATACAGGAGGATCGTCATTTTACACTAACTGACACAACGATTTTTATATTTCATAGCTCCACGAGTAATTTTCGATATAAAAATAGTAACCTAAACAGTAATTTGGGTTTGTTTAACATAAAGATACATTATGGGCTGTGTTGTGCTCACCGCCGGTATCGAAACCAGATTTTTAGCGTTATAAAACTTCAGACTTAGCCACAATAGGTAATGAACGATAAATAGAAACCCGGAATTTAGCGTTGCAGCTTTAACAATGACATAGAAACCCGGAATTTAGCGTTGCAGCTTTAACAATGACCCACCGAAAGACCTGGTTAAATGAAAAAATAAGAAAGTTTGAAATCTCATTTATTTTGGAAAAAAAAAGAAACTAATGAATAATAAAAGCAACACAACTAAAATATCTTTACTAACTTTTACCAGTCACTACGTTTTTTACAATTGAAATTTCTAGCGTGTCATTTTTCATATGTATCGTGTATGTAAGTCAAACTGCTGAATAACTTAATCTTTACTTATGAAGTGTACACTAACTTTGTGAACGATCCCTAATACTAATTGACTTCTTATATAAAAGGTCACTTCCTGCCAAAACATTGTGCTCTTCTCCTTTGTATGAGGACAGAGGAGGCGGTGGGCAACAGCTAACTGTAAAAATGAGTCATCCTGGGGTTTCTCGGGGAATTAAGTTCAATCAGGCAGCTTAACATAACGATGTCAATAATGCACGGTATAGAGTTATCCAATCATCCACACTTAACATAACCATGTTAATAATGTACGGTATAGGGTTATCTAATCATTCACACTTAACATAACGATGTCAGTAATGCACGGTATAGGGTTATCTAATCATTCACACTTAATATAACC